GGAGAAGATTAACCCACCACCTAAAATGACCACAAGGTTTCTGTTAAAGAAGGACCATCATATGCTATGCAAAGCGTTCATATTTGGCGATCACTCGGCAATTCGCTGTAATTACATTGAGGACAGATAAACCGTGCTTATGGTATGTTTCTCTATGTCTACAATTGCACATCAAAGTGTTCCATCGATGTGTACATCAGCAATTCTTTTGTCAGAAAACTTTGCAAGCAGTAAAGCATCTAATATATGCTTCGATGCAGAGGGAGCAAAACTGTCTTGTTTAAATGCGGCCATAATTTACACCCAATTACAATAATCCTGCTATATTTGGCTTGGCACATAATGACGAATTACATGCATTTCAAGCTCCTAAAGATTCTGTTGATACCAAAAACCGAAACGATAAATTGCGCATAAAAAGGAGTAAGGTTGCAGAAACAAGTTTGCCCAAAATGGAGCAGCGCGACATGGAGGCATTGGAAAGCATCACGATCGCTGCATACGATTTTCATGCTGTTTACCAGCGATGAACATTCCGTGCCCTTGCTGTGACCCATCATAAAACGCCATTCCGCGCCTGCTCTAACCGAAAACGCTGTTTGGGTCAATGGCTGCTATACCAAGTAACGTAGACCGCGCCGCCGGCCAAGTGACGCCCAACTTGGCCCTGTACGAAGATGACAGTGCGACTGCCACCTACCTTGAATCGATGCACAGCAGGATCGGCGAAAGCCTTCAAGCGAAGGTAGTAATGCTTCATATGTGCAATACAATTGAGGGTGTCGCACTTTAGAGGCAGTTTGGCTCTTTTTTGGGTGTCTATGTTCCCTGTGTACAAACAGCGGTGAATTTCCTGATCTTCCTCAGACTTCCGTGGATCGTTGGAATCGCAGGCATCGTGCAATCTGCCATCTTGGTGTTCGTCTGTTCACTCTGCGTACGAGAATGCCCATTTTTGTAAATGTCCAGAATTCATTCCCGTTTTTAGGCCCTCCTTACGAGTATATCTGTTGCAGCCATTGCCACTAACGGAAAGCTGAAAGGTGGGCGTTTCAGAATTGCTGGAAAATGTTTCAAGCCAAACACAGAGCTTCTTCAGAAAACCACGGCAGTGGAGACGTCTACAGTCTGCTGGCAAGAAACATCGGACCCGAGTTTGGAGGCGCGATCGGAGTGTTGTTTTTTTTAGCGAAGACCATGCAAGTCAGCTTCGCCTTGTTAGCACTTGCCGAAATTTTAGTGGTACTACAATGAAGGCAATAAAACGTTCTCGTTTCTAAGCACCCATTCATTGCAGACGTACGTTTTGCCTGAGAGCTCGCGAACGACGGACGCTATTGCCGGTGAATCGGGCATAGTTAACAGCTATCGATTATATGCCATTCTACTCTTAATCATTCTTTTTCCTGTCTGTTGCTTCTGCCACAGATGCTTAACCTTCATTTTGCCGTTTTTGCTCATACCTACAATTTTTGCGCTTTTGTCAGTGGTGATCGGATCGGCTTTGCTGAATGAACAGAACTCTAACGAGTAAGCTTCGGTTTTGAATAAGTTGACATTCTGCTTTTCTGAGGCTTTTTGACAGTCGTCAGTCACACAAGAGGCAGATGCGACTTTTTAGCAAACCACAGTATTCGTCTACTCTGTGCTCATTGTCTTTAGAACAAATCAAAAGCTTGGTTCGATTCTGTGCTTCTCCGCTAAAGTGCATACTTTTCCGCTTGGACAGCGGAGGCAGTCAGGACAGAGCTGGTAGAATTCACGAGGTCTTTGTTCGTCAGTCATCGTTAAGACAGATTTATAAGGGTTCCTTTAGGGGCATTGTAATTTCCAGTCTAAAAATTCAATTTGAACCTGCCTATAGTTATTACAAAACTGCACAGCAACTGTTCGGCTCTTAGCCATATTGTACTGATTCGCCTCCATGAAGGTCAATTACTATATCATAATTTCCTAATCGAGAAAATATTTATTTTCCGCAAGTTCTACTGAACCGAATCGCCATAATACGCCGGCAATTGAATTACCGCATGCTAATTGAATTGACACCTCAAAATGCTAATTTCTCGACTAAGAATTGCTATATCTACTATTAAAACTACCTAACAGAAGATTACTCTTTGAATGCTTCTGCCATGGCATAAGCTTCTCAACTCTATTACAAATATTTTAGTAGTACCTTCAATATCACCTTACCTTTCGGTGAACTCTACTTTGAGCTGTCTTCGCTTCCAATCTTTCACACATACTGATCATTATTTAAACATCGCCCTTCAAAATCATATTAAGACTAAGTGCTTTCGATAATTCCGTTTTCGTAACCAGATTTTTCGATATAAGGATTATTTGTAATAATGAAGACATTGGAAAAGGAGCTCCATGCAAAAGATTTCCCTGAGCTCGTGAACGACTTATCAATTGGTTTTATAAAATTATTACTAAGGAGAAGAACTTTCATGGAAATGGGAAAATGAACAGAATCTCCAACTTTGCGAATAATTCAAATTAGCATTGTACATACATTTACATATGTATCGTGTGTAAATATTTTCTTGCATCGCAACAACATTTGCACACGGGCCTTCTCAGAGGACGCAAGACTTCGCGAAACCTACTTCTGGAGGAGTGATGCGTGATAAACTGGATTTGCGGTATTCTGCAACAGCTGATTCAATGGGACAAGTATATTTATTGCAGAAGTTCAATGTTATCGATAAGCATCGATAAGTTTCGCAGGAAACCTTTTTCCGTCCCTGTTTTACGGAATTAGCGCCTTTAGCCATGAACCTACATACTGGTGATTATTATCTATGTGAAAGAGAAAGAAGGTCGACGTACTTATTCAAGTTTCACCAGTAAATTGTATGAGAACGTGGCAAATGCACGACGTATTTTCAGATCGAAATTTCCTTTTACTAAACAGGTTTACCATAAATGAATAAATCTGTCAAACCCTAACGTCTTCCATCTGATTTGTTTCCATCAGTGGCTGTGCCACTGACGCGAGTCGACTTTCCGCCACTCAACTCAATGTTTTGGCCCTTGCTTCCACCGTTGACTGAACAGCTTCGTCATTTGGTCGACCAAGTGCGTTTGAGGGAACAGGTGAGTGAACGTCAGTTCTTGAGAGGGATCCAGTTGGTAACCACGGGTCTACACAGGTTGCCCTTCAGACGAGTCACATGGTCAACGTATATTCTCTGAGGCGACAATGAGTACTCCGACAAATCTTGTTCGTTTCTGAAACCGAGTTATCGTAGATGGAACAGCGTGTTGAAGGGCATTTTGCATAATGTGTTTAATGTGCATGATGCCAATACCGTTACCACAAATTACTTTTCCTCAGCCTTAGTGGCATACCACCGCTCGACGCCACAAATCATGGCGTTGGGCAGTCTGAATCGAACAGTACTTTCTTAGTAGGCATTAGTAGGCACGAGCAGTTCGTTGTACAGAAGCGATGATTTCATGTGATTGAAACATGCTCGTTCCGCATTCCTTCCACAGCTGATCTTGCCGTTGATGTTGCCATAGTGGTCTGTTAAGTACATGCAGCTATGGACTATTTTGCAGCCATTGAAGACTGTACTCATGGGACAGTGCTCGTTGCTCATCCTTTCATCTTAGGGATGTTCATCAACCTCAGACTGAAGGAGCCCGACTACTTTTACAACAACTCACTCTTTGTTTGGAGTTCAGGCGGGATTTAAGCAAAGACGATGACGTCATCCGCAAAACCAAGATCCGTGAGTCATTCGCAGTGCCTCCGCCTCAATTCAGACGATTACAGAGGAATACCAATGTTGTTTGACGTTGATTACACATGGTTCTTCGAACAGCTTGATGTCAGTTGCGGCGTTACTAATCAGTTCTTGATCAGGTCATGGTAGAAAAAGCTGATGCAGCAGTCGTACAGGGCGTTCACAATGGCTTTCAGCTTGCTTCAGAATCGAATGCTTTTCTGAAGTCACGCAATGTCTAGCAGAAGAGGAATTTCTTGCAATTACCTGGTAATTGCTTCATGATGCAAATGTGGTATATGGTGGAAAACCCTATTCGGAAACCGGCTCGTTGTTCACTAACGAGGAATTGCAGGTCATTTTGGATGCGATTGAGGATGATTCAGGTAAAGACCTTGTAGGAGAGCAATGGGTCGATGGTTCAGAAAGTCCTCAACATCACCATTCTTGAATACAGTAACCGTCGAATGTCCTTTAAAGCTTCTAACGTAGTTGTCAGTCTAATGTACTCCGTAAACCTTTCAGTAATGTCTTTGAACAGGGTCATTATTCCTGATTGTGATGCTCTGGCTTCTTGCCGTCCCTGCCAGGACATCTGCCACTTTTCAGTCCTTGATTGCCCACTATACTTCTTCACCCAGATATCGGCAACGGTTTTAGAGACCACGTGCGGCAGCGTTCGGTTTACCTTTTGGTCGTTACTAACCTCGTATAGAAAGTTTTCATACGTCAGCGTTTCGGGACTCTTGTTCCCTCTTCCTACTTTAGTGCAACCGGAATCAACCTTCTCGGGAAAACACCATTTTCAGCGGTCTTCAGGCTATTTTCGTTTAAAGGGGCCTCTCTCAACCTCGTTTTCTTATGTTAGTGATACTGGCCCTACTTTTTTTCCTTGTTTCCTTGCACAATGCACTGTATTCGTCGTCCAGTTGTCCATCTGCTTTCATTCTGATTCTTCTGGCCAATAGCTGCCTCGCTGCGGGGCTCGTTAGTTGTTTCATCATCGACTGTTCAGCTGGAAGATCAGATATTAGTTTTGATAAGGGTATCGTTGAGGCACGATAGTCTGCATCAGTGCATCTGATGATCTGCATTAAGAAGTTCAGCCGAGAAAGCTTTTCTGTAGATGTTTCAGGAGCGAATATGCGTCCATTGGCCAGAGGTGTTTCAGCCCTTCTAACTCGATCTTCTTTAGCGACATCGATCATTGGTGTGGAACGAAGAAATCTTTGATCTGACCTGGTCCAACCGATGTTTCCACTGCCCCTCATGTGTCCTTCACTACGTAATCGATTTCATGCAAGGTTATTTCACTAGGGTTCCTTCACGTGGAATGCCGCTTGTCAGCCTTTCTAAGCAAGGCATTCATGATGTACAGGCGGTGACCTTCTGTAAATGCTACCAGGCTTCAGCTGGGCTCGTTTCCCTATACACTTTCAAACCGGCCGCTGAAGCGTTCTGTCTCGTTTGTTTTCTTCCTCAGTTTGACGTTGAAATCTTCTTGGACCACTATGTACATGTTTCGCACGGTTCTTTCCAGTTTCTCCTAGAAATGATCTACCTCTCTTCCTCCTATTTCTGTCTCGTGTTATAAATTTTGATAATGTTTAATGGTCTCTTGTTCATCGACAGAAATAGTACGGCGATATGAGGTCGCTAGTGACTACGAGTTTCTAACCTCCTTGTTTACGACGAATCGTCAACGCCTGTACAAGCCCGATTTTCTTATGATTTCCGAGGAATATTTCATCACCATTGCTCCACTGTGCGATAAATTCGGCATGTCGGAAACATTCGCTCTGATCTTCTTCTCATAGGTGATGTAAATGTTGACGAGTGCGGCTGACGACAGTCTTCTGGTATTTTCACTAACTATAAATATCTTGATGCCAGTCGTGTCCCGATCTTCGCCGGGTCGTAAATAATCCCAGTTTTTAGCCAGCCGGTTACCCCGCTATTTTTCTGTATCGCATGCAACGAATCTTTGATGACATACCTAGGCAATTTATTCATGGTGTCAACCTTTGCAAAGAATCCAGTGAGTTACGGAATAGGGATGCTTGACGGCCTCTTGGTCGAGGAGTGATTTATTGGCTAGGGTCGAGTATAATCTTTTCACCCCGCTGGAGACGGCCTTTTAAGGCATATCAAGCCGTCTCGGCGGAGGGAAATACAAATATCATTCTCGACCATCGGTCGTTTTCCGTTTATGATAGTGGATCTTCTCGACCACCGTTATTCACTGCATGGAAGATGAATTGTTGTGTACTGTAGAATTTATTTTTTTGTTTCGATCAACTGCTGGACACTTTCCTCGAGACTATGATCATTGTTAGCCATGGAGTGAAGAGATTGGATCATTAAGTGCTTTTTAGACAGACCGATGATTTTACAGTCGCCTTCAGTCCCAATTGCTTCAATCAGCTACACTCTTCTCACCTCTCATTATACAACCATGAATCACAAGTTATTATCAGAAATTCGATTTTCGATGACTGTTGGTGTATTAATTTTCGTTAAAGGATTTGTTTGGTTGGAGAGGCGGTGTTAAGGACAGAAGTATCGAACGAGAACATAACTGCCGTGTGCGGACGCTCAGAGAATATTTTGCCATATTCGCGCAACGTTACCAATCGAAGCGTGCCAGATCTCTGTAAAGGATACTTGCTCGATAATCAACCGAGTTTAACGCCTGCATACCCTGGATTCTCAAGTGGAGTGCTTTACGGCAAGTTCTGATACAGTTCGTAGCAAAAATCATCGATTTGTTTTTGAGCGCTTATTTTATGAAAGTATACCGTTTTCTACGGCAGAATTGCACCACACTGAAAGATCATTTTTTGAGACATGATTTCATAAAACAGGGGGCACAGCAGACCTTTAAGACGTATTACAATGTTTATAATCTTTTGTACCCTGTCATGCGACATCGAAACGTCGCGGTAAGCAGAACTCTAAACTGTTGCCTTGCATCTTGAATCGCAAACCGAAGTTTATTAACTATTATTTATGAAGGAAACAGGTTGAAACTTCTTCCATAAATATTATAATGCATAGAACCTTATTTCAGCTAAATAGCTTAAATCTACGCAATAATTGGCTAAAGGGTAAGATGAGCAACGAAAGTGGTGGGTTTTCTAGGCTCCGCTTATTTTATGGGGAAGCTCAAACGAAAACAAACGATCAGAAGCTTGGGAGACACTGTCTGACGTGCTTGCCTCCGCAATCCGAACGGATAAGTGGTCGTCGAAATTTATTGGATAATTTTATTTCCTGTTCAGAGATTTGACGATATGATATTAAAATACAGATGACACAGCATTTCGCACTGAATCTCTCAAGTCTTGACTGTGGTTGGGCGTACACAATTTTCATTCTTCTCAATTTTCAGTCATAATCCATCTATCGTAATCTGAGTCGTACTTCTAGAATATTTTTGGTCAGATCCGTGAGTCGCATACCTTCGTGCAGAAGGTGGACGGTGCGTTGAAAAGCTTTTTCCTGATTCCTTTTGGAATTAATATTAAGAGTAGCTGAAATCCATCTTACCACGTTTGGAGGTGACAGGTCCTTTCTCTAAGGAGATCTGTCTTAAAAGTGTTAACAATTCTGTCAACCTCTAATGTAAGTGATGCAGAAGACTGTTGCTTTGTCAAAGCGTCAATATAAAGATGTTCCTTGGAGCAGCGTGCAGTGTATGAGCTCCTGATGAAATTTGTGCATGACTAAGCTGACGCGAAAGGACGCCAGTTTGGGTGCACTTAGTGTACTATGCGTTGCTCACGTTTCTCACCATCGCAAGACAAACAGAGCGTTGACCTTCTTGTTCTCTGTTTACCTGTAATCTAAGCAACTCGACAGTGCAATCTAGAAGTAATCTCTTTCAACTTCCATCGTAAAATATTTCGAATGTGCTTACAGCAGCAAGGAAATAATATTTTTACAGTAGAAACCACGCATGCGGTCTGATTCTACAAATGCGAGATATTTTAGAATTGTCCTTTGATATGTCTTTCCCTTTGCATATGAAAAATCGTCATATCTGCTGTTTTAGAAAATTTGTACTCAAACTTCTTGTATGCCGGGGAATCCGCGGAAGGATGCAGCGGAAATCCGCGTCTACTCGTTACTCAAGATATCACGACAAATTTTTTTGTGTTGCTGTCGATTTTTGTTCCGGCCGTTGGAGGAGTGATGTCGCTTGCTGTGATCAATGGTAAACCTTCTTCTCTGTACAATTGCTCAATACTAATATTTCTATACACAATGTTTAATGATATATGGTAAACCCTGCGGTCATTTCCGTGGAACAGTTATCGGAAATGATCCCGCGTTGTCACATATTTGTCAGGCAGGCGAAGCTCAGTGTCATTGTTGCCTATGACCTGACAAATGTGTCGAATGATAATGATCAAGACGTTTCTATCGGTCAACTGTTAACGCCCTATCTCGTCATTGAATCACAATTGTCACGGTCCAACTTGACGCACAGGCAGGCGCTGAATACAGAACAGAATCAATTGAATTGATACAGTGAGTGACAACAGCGCGCACTAGTTAGGCTCTTGACAAGAGTCGGGGGGGATTATTCCCTCATACGAAAATGCATCAAACTACCTGGACATTCACAAATAGAAGGCCAAACACCAAGCTGAACCATGTCCTCATCAGCAGCAAATAGCGCAGCTCGATTCTTCAGAATCCTGCCAGCTGTAGAGCTTGCGTTGAGTCAAATTGCCATATGATTGTTGCTGAACGTCATCTAAACTCACCCGTATCGAATCGAAGTTACGTGGTTTTACACCAATATTCGATGATGACAGACCAAAACATGACGAAACAGCATGGCAGGTCCACCAAGGAAAGGAAGTAGAAAGTTGTTTTCTGCACCCCTCGGTGCCGGTTCGGAAAGTGGCAACGTCAGAACGTTGTAAGCAGGCACACCGGATGGAAACAACAAATGGCAGATATGGTATGTTATCCCGTAGTCTGGTTGTCTCTGCTGAATGTTTAGATATATCCGTAAATAGTGGCGTAAGAGATAGGTGAATGAATGCATAAATAAATATGTGCATGACAATATGATCAATTATCTTCCTAATTCGTCATGTACGAGGCATGGCCAAAAATTTAGTATCAACTTGTTGCTGTCAAATCCTATGTATGGAATTAAGGATATATGTTTGACATGTCTGATATACAATATGTCTGATCGTTCAGCTGTAGTAATAAATATAGGTCTAAAACGGTCAGTTCAATTACGAATGTATCCGCTAATTTGTTTTAAACTAGGAAATTCAGTTCATTGAATACTTAATTAATTAATTCTAGCGAATAATTTCAATACAAAAATTTTGGAGGAGGGTATTGTCTGTCAAGAGAGGGCAATTTATGGACACAATGAAAGAGGGAAAATGAGGAAAACCATAGGTAAATTTCAACTCTTCAAGAGACTGGCGGTTCTGACAGTTGATCGCATTCCTAGAGTACTCTTGCCAATACCCTTGCCAGATCAGTCTGACTGAATATCCTAACATTCGGTTCGATAAGATAATCTTGCAGATGCCGATTGACTATCTGCATTACGAGCATTTTTTGGAAGGCTCATCTTGCACCTCTTCTCGCATCATATTTACCATATTTACTTAGATAGAATATGATAGTTAAATTTCTCAATATTATAACATAGACGATGTAATTATATGGCTTACGCTGGTTTAACTTTTAGTTAATTGATGGTGATCGACAGCGTTGACAGATAGCAAGCTATATTGCACAAATGTGTAAGAACGCGCTGCCCTATTTAAAGAGGAACATTGGAATGAGGACGGAAATCTTGGAAGCGCTCACACGATGCCGCAGTGACCTTCCAATTATTAGTCAGTCATCGCGGATAAAGAGCTAACTCCTTACCATGCTTGTTGAGCCTTGGTGCACTGAGTAAAGTTTCTTGCTCAATAAACTATTAGAATTAACAAAAATAAACAAGGACTGCGCCGTTTCTGAATACCCACTGTAAAATTTAAAAAGATTATAAACTATTATTCGAAAATGGGTCAGACATGAAATACGAAATGAAATGAAATCGTAAATCGCATGAACGTCTAATGAATCAGTCGCGCAGCTTCCAGTGGTATTATTTCAGATAATTTGGAGAAGCCGGACTTTTCCGTTCCTTGTGGCACCATCGCTGTGCAACTCACCAGTTTTGCCGTCTACTTCGTTTTCGTTTTCATATACGGCAGTACAACGTTTGGGCCGCTGCTGCGAGACAAGTATATGAATGCTAGATATCGATAACTTCTGCAAGATTGCTCCCTTCAGGTATGGTCAGTCACTCGGAGGCAAAATGGTAGCCGGAGGTCTAGCATGGCCGAGCCATTGGGTGGTGGTCATAGGCACTTCCATAATGTGTCTAGAAGCAGGCATGCAAGAGCTTTGCAGTAATTGTGCAGTCGCCGCCTCTTAACACATTATTTCTAACCGCCTGATTGATGATTGCAGATAGTCCAATGCTTCTTCAAAGCATTGCAAGAGATAAGCTGATTCCGCTGCTGGCGCCCTTCATAAAGTCGACCATGAAAGGTGTGCCTCTGAACGCGATTCTCTTCTCGACATTCATGGCAGCGCTGGGGATCATGATCGGTCGAGTAGATGAGCTGGCACCGCTGGTGTTGGTACTCATCCTCATAAACTATACATTCGTTAACCTGGCGTGCGCCATTCAAACAATCCTCAGGGCTCCCAACTGGCGCCCTCATTTTCGATATTACCACTGGAGCTTCTCTGTCATTGGAGCGCTTTTGTCGCTGTTCATCATGTTCTCAACGAAATGGCACTACAGTCTGGTGGTGTTGATCATCTTCGCTCTCTTGCATAAGTACATCGAGTACAAAGGGTAACGAAACTGCCCCTTAAAATGACCAACAACCGACCGACATTTTCATTTCAGAGCGAAACAAGAATGGGGCGACGGACTTCGAGGATTGGCACTGTCGACAGCGCAGTACAGCTTGCTCCGAGTTGAGGATTCACGAGTTCATCCGAAAAACTGGAGGTACAGTTGAGCTCATTGTGATATTTTTCACTAATTTACCATATAAAAACCTGTTATAAACCGGACTCATGAATAAAAATTCCTTTTTTCTCAGCGGACTTCAACTCGTATATTGGTTCATACTGGATAGAGATCTTGCCTTCTTTGAAGCATTCATCTTTCCGTCAGCATAGTGCTCTGTAGAGCTTACCATAGGAGGATCCGTTACGGTCAACTGCCTCCAACTTTTCGGTCTTTTGTCAAATCTTCTGTCACTTCTCACTGTTTCATCTCGTTCTTCACTACGTATGTAGTTATTGCCATTTTTGTCTTCTCCTTGTTTTTCCTTACAGTATGGCTGCTTGCACCACATTTTTAGCTTACAGTTGGATCAGCTTTTCAAGTGGTTGAACCAATGAAACCTGTTGTCGATATGCATTTTTACGTGTATTCTAGACTTATAGTGACTATTTTAAATATCTTAGATGGGCCCTTCTCACTGGCATCATCCATCTATCATTACAATCACAGTTCTATGGAGTTCGAATGTTTTCGTGTCTTTTTGGGTAGACAAACATTCATCTTTGAACAGAAGCCCCGTAGCGTACACTCCCTGCATTTCCTTATAGATTGGTGGGTATCTTTTTATTCAACAGTACTCTCTCGATCTGAACCGCAGTGCTTTGATCGATTCCTTAATTTACTATTGATCTCCTCATTGTCTTGAAGAACCGATCAAGATACTCGAATTGGTGGATATGAGGTAGCGACTGTTTGTTACATTCACTGATTTGTTGGCTTTCCTCTGTTTTCCCCCGTGAAATTGCCCGCTGTATATTGCGACCTGATTTTGCTTGCCGAAAGCCGTTTTTCCCAATGCCTCGATCCCCTCCCCCTGCCTCCTGCTTCTCTGCGTCTACAACTCGTTTCAAAGCGTTCAATACATGGCTGCTTCCTGTGGACTCTAAGTTTTCCCATGTTTCGTCATTGTGATTAGAAATAAACTCCGTGCTAAGTTTTCGTGGACTCGTAATCGTTGAGGGAATCCTTTTCTTTCGCCGGGTGTTCTCAGAATTACCGTTGCCAAACTGTCGTGCATTTCGAGCATGACTAACAGTTTTCTGGCACCAGCCTTTTCCCAGCGCACCATCAAATAGTCCTCCTTTGCATTCGATCGAATTGAACTAGTTGACGTAGATTCGAATCTGCATTTTTTCTGAAGCAGTTTTGCCAAGCACCACATCTATTTAATTTCCAGAGAACTATTATTGAAGTTATTTTGTCATTGTCGTGGGTGACATTACTGAACCTTCAGTAAGTACTACGGCCAAGGTCATGTTCCTCGTCGCAAGCATGTCTGCCTCAACGATGTAATTCCATTTTTGTATTATTTAGAAAGCATAACTAAGTTCAGTGAAATGTCATTTTATGCTTATTGCAATGCATTACGGATCAAATGCAGGTCAGTGGGTTCCATCATAGTCAAAAATATGCCTAACTTGGTGATCGCGATAACTCAAGTTTTATCAGCATATGCAAACATGCATACCTGGATTCTGATTGACCTCATTCGTTCAAAGTTCAACAGTTATCCATAGCAAAAGCCATTTTGAGTCAGTACCTTAAGTCACTGCAATTAAGGTTCATCGCAACCTAGTTTCTTATGTATGAAAGCTAATTCAAAAAATGTGAGCATGTGATGCAGTTTTCCTGACAATATGCGATCGACGAGATCACGGATCATTTGGCGTTAAGGCAGAATGTTCATAATGTTAATCAAGCGAATCTTGCTGTCAAAAATTTACTCTGATCTTATTTCAGACCTCAGCTTCTTGTCTTGCTTAAAATGCAGCCGTCACATGACCTGCTCAACTATAAGCTCCTTCATTTCGCCAGTCAGCTGAAAACCGGACATGGACTGACGATCGCTGCCACGTTGCTGCAAGGCGAAATAGCTAGCCAGCACGACAGAGAAAAAATGGAGGGGATTCGTAAAGTAATAAATTGTTTTTTCCTGCATAATTGAATTATTATTGTTTGGCTGTCTTTTCTTTGATTGGTTAGATATAACTGTTTAGATATTATAAATTATTCAACCATCTATATATTTAACCCTCAGGTCTTATTTATTCAAATTCGTCTTATTCTTTGCACTTAAAGATATGGTCGTACCCTACAAGAGACAGATCAGGCAACACAGAGCATGAAAAGACATCGCTAACGCTGAACTGCGGTTGCCTAGAAGTATTTTTTTCGTGGAAGCAGGACATCAAGCATAAAATCATGTCATTCCGCCTACTTTCTGGGGACATTGTAAGTTTAGGCATTGCAGTCATCGGCGCACACAAACACAAAAGAAACAGCGTAAAAAAATCGTACGCTGGAAGTTCAGATCACAAATGAGTGCACATATGGCTTTTGCTAGTAATAAATTTGAATGATAGGAAATGTTGACGTGATCGATGTTTATTGAAATAAAAGCAATTATGAACTGCCCACATTTTTATAGGAACTGAAGCAGAAAATGGCTGATGCAAAAATTAGAGGTTTCACAGAGGTGGTTCTGTCGACCAATATTCACAAGGTCGTAGGTACTGTATTGCAGTGCGTTGGCATTGCTGGTCTGAGAACGAACACAGTGATCATCGCTTGGCCAATCAGCTTCGCGGAAAACAGCCACCGTAATGGATCCGGTGAAGCACAATTTTTTGGTAAGCCTTTACGTAATGCCTACTGCATGCCATCAGACCTTCTGAATTATTACATTATAATACCTGCGTTTATTTCTACTTTCCTCATGGATCAATAATTTTCTGCCTACATCGTTGCAAAACTGTTTCGCTAACGTGAGAACAGTTTTGATTGCAAATAACCATTTTTTGCTGACATGAGTTCTAGAATAGTGTTTATGTAGAGCAGTGGCTGAACTTATTCCACAGTATATTATTAGATATGTTAACGATAGGGCAATAATTTTGCGATTACGAATGATGTGTTGATAATGTTGATCTACAGTAGCATGCGTTTCTGTGCGCCGTTGTGACTTTCCGTTGAAATTCAATCTGTATATTACGTGTATCAACGTAAACGTGAAAGCTATTCGCATACTACAGAGTGCGCAAAGCAGTGTAGAACAGGAAAAGAGGAAAACATTAATAATTAGTAAGGGTACAAGTAGGATCTGTGATGTCATTGCCCAGATGAAGAAATTTAAGTGACCATGGGTATGGCAAGCATGTAACAAGAACCATTCATCGCTGAACCAGAGAGACAATTGACTAGGTTTCAAGGCAGAGCAAATCGCCTGTCGGAAACCTCCAGAATGGAAACTTGTCACAGAAAACAGAAGCCCATGGCAAAACCTTGGAGTGGCCTACATATAGCGATGGATTAAAGAAGGTTGATGATTATTATACTGCGTAAACCTTGCTATCCATCGTGGTAATCCAACGTAAACTGGTATGCACCGATTGGACTAAGATTAAAGTGAGATCTCAGTCCAAGCCGGTGATCTTTCGACTTTACCGGTTTGTTACTAATCGATTCCTATACGTAAGCATGTGCATTGTCCCCTGAAGGTCCAAGTTTATGCCGTGACTTAGGTTTGGCTGAAACCAGCTCCTTAATGGAGCAAGAATCACAGTAAACCAATCTGTACCGAGAAGCAAATTAGTTTCAGTCTGTGCTGGCATAGACAGGTTCATACAGCGATAAATGAATCAGCATTCTGTATGATAGCATATTTATTGTAAGCGTTCATTTCAACAACAGCCCCACTGCTATGGATATTTACGCTCGTGGTGTGCTAGTTAATGGAGATGTATTAATTCGTGTTCAAAGTTTCAGCTGAATTACAAAAGAACGTCGATTTGTATGGAATAGTACATTAAACAATAAAAAAAAATGCAACGTTTCAGCTTTTGATACCGGACTGAAGTGACGTAAGCACAGTCACTTTACTTCTAATAGCCTATGGGGGCTATTTAAACAGGTCACACTCCGTGGTATTTGGAGTGGATGGATGCCAAACCGCATCACTAGGCAGGACCGAACAAGGGCCTGTTTGGACACCTGCAAATATGTGCTTGTGTCGCTTCAATTCGGTATCAAAAACTTAAAAGTATTATATATCTTATAATTGTATCAATAATTAGCAGTACGCTAGTAAGCCAATGAGATTGAATTTTATTTTTCTGTGTAAAAAAATAGAAAATTTGTCATCGTACCAGAAATATCACTAAAAATATGGCCAAACCCTGAGAATAACACACTTTCCTAGCGCAGAGAACACTGATCAATGTAATATTTGCTCAAAATCTGAAAAAGAGAGATAAAGAAAGAACACAAAA